TATTCAATGACATTGATTAGTGTTTTTTTCCTTTATTTGTGTTCACGTTAGAATTTATTGGATACTGGAAATATTMCGCACAAGTTCATAACGTATATACAAATAGCTGTGAATGAAATATATGTTACATTAATAAATATTGCATGCTAATATAATATATTAAACTACTTTTATAGTTATGATAAGTTTTGTTATATATTATTTGAAAGAAACCTTATTTCTGTCATGAGAAATATTAAGCGAATAAGTGTTATAATTTATAATAAATTTTAAGTAAAATAACGCGAGAACACAGCATATATAATATATATAATTATAATATAATATTTTGTTTACAATTATTTTCCAGTCTAGTTATGAATTGTTTTATGTTATATTATGTAATATTATGTTCCTAAAACTACTCATAATTTAGTTTATTGTACATTTACGATTCCTTCTGAAGATTTCCATAATCTAACAAGTAAGTTTTAACCCACGTTCAACATGTATAGTGAAAAAATACTTTTTCCAAAATATAGCTTTATATTGTATGTGTATAATACGCATACCTATAAGGTGTTGTATTTATTTTTGTTTATCAGAACCAATGTTTTGTTTTATGTAGTGTAATTCATTATTCTAAATTTCAGACTAATACTATGATCAATCATAAAATTAGGAAAATTATATCTAGCTTTTAGTTTTTAAGATATTATAACCATTTGTATAAGTTTTGAACATTTTTCTTAATTTCGATATTTCAATATCTAGGTATAGGTATCGCCTAAAAACTAAAATTTTGTAAAAACTAACAAATACACGCCGATAATGTTCTTAGTTCGTACCTTTAAGGTTTATTTATCAAAAAGGATAATACGTACACTCTTATATTAAAGCTGACAACTCAAAAATTAGTTCTGCTGATCACAAATTTGATTTATTATATTATGTTTGGTAGACGAATACAACGTCGGTAGTCTTGTTAATTAATAAATAAAGTCCAAGCTTTATATTTTAACTTATGAAAATATTGAATAAACCATGAAAATATTTTAGCCTATATACATTTTATTTTTGTAACCTATATTATGTTTACATGCCACATGTATAAATTCATTGAACATCTGGCAATTGGCTAATGTTCAATGTAATTGCCTATTTTAATTTTTTTCAAATATTATTTTCATCCACAATAATATATGAATCAGCCGCATCTGAATGGTTCAGCGATAGCTGACATTCACAAATAAATTTATTAAAAATATTAGGAAATATTTCTTAAAATTAAAATAGGTAAGTACCAAATAGATTCATCAACCGTTGCTGATAATTAGCAATAGGAGTTGTAAAAATTCATAATTTTACTTTTAAAAAGTGTAATGATTATACGTACCTAATTCGTTTGTTTCAAATTATTTGTATTTATAAAAATTATATTTTTAACTGTTTAATCATATCTCAACATTATAAGGAATATACCATATGGTTGATTTTATTTCAAAGATAAATTTTATTTTTAAATTAAATAATATATAGATTGTACATATCACTTTCATGTTCAATCATTCTTTAAATAGAAATATTTTACATTATTAAATAAATATCTATTTCTACGATTCATTTAATATTTAAATTATTTCACATGTTAATATATATTATTATATCTTGAAATAGGTAGAGTATTTAACAGTTCAAAGTTAGAACTTCGTAAAGAAAATACATAGGTATAGGTAATATTCCTGTATATTGTGACAAAGATTTTATAAACTATATTTGAAGCACATAATATAATATTACAACGTTTCTTTTGCAAAAGAAAAAACAATTAATATTACGTTCTATTGTTATTTTAATTGTGGTTTCGTAATATTCATCTTAAAACAGTTGGTGTTTTAACAGTTAGGTAACAATTACGGATTCCAAAGTAAGTATTGTTCAGAAAATCTCGTTCACTGCAAAATACACAAGTGACAAACCAAACACCCCTTAAATTTAGGGTTAAACCAAAGACTTTCATGTTTTCTACCAAACTATAAATAAGAAGCTGGTGACTTCTCTCATTTGCTTATTAATTGTACTGCTCTTTCATCAAGCTGAATCAAATTAAATGTTAGGCTTCTCTCTCCAATGGTTCTGATGTAAATTCCTTATCAACTATAGTAACATGTAATTAAAACCATCATAATAAATACATGGCTTAAAATACGTCATAATCTTGATTTCAAAATATTTCAAAATTCATATTTTTAAAGGCGATTATTGTAATGGAAGAGACATTATAATAATTTAATTTTAAAAGATGTTTGCAAAAATTATTATTATTGAAAATATTCATAAACAAAATTTAATCTATAACCTGTAAGTTATAAATAATATGATACCTACTAACTATTCAAAACAAATAATTGACAATTCATTACCACCGCATTTGATGAATGACCAAAATTAAAATCAGCTGAGACCATTCATAATGTGATTTATTTAATAATATATGCATAAGATCATTATTATTATCAATTTATCATTATTCATTATTTATATATACGCTATTGCCAAATGAAACTAAATATGAATAAATAAAAAACCCTACTAATAAATATTTTGTCACACCTTATAAATAAAATATGTTTAAATAGTTCACTTACGTATATGCCTGTAAAATCGCGTTTTAAAAAATAACGAATACATGTTATATTATACTATAGTTAATTTTGCAATGCTTGAGTTATGAGGAACTCAAAGGAAGTACCTCTTCATTTTTAAAAACGTTTTAACTTTTCCCATCTAATAATTTTATTTTAATCAATAAGACATTTTGGAACGTACTTTTTTAACCCCTTCTTATCTTTTTTCCAATTCAAGCACTGATTATTATTATCATCATGTGCGTGAATAGGTATATATCATAATATTTTCTGATTATAAATAAACGTGTGGCCAAGCTGAGACAATACACCCTAACCTAGCTACTACTGCCGCGGTATTATGCTAAGATTAATGACGTTTGAACTTTAATTTGTTATGCTGGTGGGATGTGCGTTTCTATAAAAGAGTATCTAATATATTACATTGTTATAGGGTTGATCCTCGTTTTCTCGCGAGAGATACAAAGCAGTATGAAAAACTGCATACTTTGCCAAACCCCGGAAACTGACGTCAGGTTATTTTTGCCATTAAAATTTGACAGTCCCGTTACGTATATTTTTTTCCAAATTGTACTTAAATCGACGAGGCAAGAAGGTGAGTATCCCGAGGTTAGGAAAATCTATTGATACAAAAAAACACATAAACGTATGTGTTTAAGGTAAAATTGTTGTGTGTGATCAATTTCAATAGGACAGTATAATAAACACACGCGTATTCAATATGTATGTTTATACTTATATAAACGTCATACACTCAACCCAAATTTATGTGAGTAGGTATTGTATAGATATCATACACCTACAGTTTGATTATGCCGATTATGGTAGGTATAGAATTGATAGACGTATAGTTAATTGCGAGGAGGGAGAAATATACCGGGGACGCTGCACTATAGTCTATGGATGAAGATAGTTTCGTACAAGTTATAAAACTGGATTTAAATGTCATGGGATTTTCTATGGTTGAGTGTAGGTTTCCCATAAAATTCTATACGTCTATATGCAGCAACTAGCCTCTTTATATCACGTATTTACATTATACCTATAAATGAAATAAATGCTGAGTTGTAGTATATTAAAACAACTGATTTTTATTTATAATAATTAATGTTGAAAGTCTATTGAGCTGATAATGTAGTGATTAAGTATAATACGTGTATAATTGACAATTTCCAAAGCCCTTCAAGTAACGTACATGTAAAACTCTCCCGTATTTAGGTTCTATAGAGAAAAATAAAACTTGAAAACTAATTAAAATTATTGATCAATATTAAATATTAATAGTTTGTACCACTATTACGCACTACCGGCTAAACCTATATTCAATCATATTACTAATTTTATAAAACAAAATTCAAAGGAAATTTATAGTCAAAGAATAATTAAATCTTATATAGCGTGAGAGATATACTTGAGATGTTTTACAATTAATATAATTGGAAAGTCACATTTCAAATAATTAGGTACGTATTTTCAACTGTCAAGCACAATAAATAGAAACATTTTGTGTTGAAACAGGACATTCTCATCGTTAAAATTATATTGATATTATTAATATTGTAGATACTATTTTTTGAAAAATGATTTTGACATATTATAAAATAGATTATAAGGAAAAACAAAAGAAAGAAACAGAAAACAAAAAGTTTTATSACAACATTTAGAGCTACAGATTTTATGCAGTTCGCATCAAGCAAGTACTTAAGTACAAGTTCGATTACAACCCGTCTACACTTTCATCAACCGAACACGCTGCCATTTCAGCTTAAGTGAGAGAATATTGAATTTTAATTGATAAGATCGCAGTGGCTTATTGTTATGCGGTCAACGGTCCAGCGTGTGAATAAAATTCCGTACCGTTCATATTTTTTTTCAATTAATTATTGATATGTCTATTAATACCAACAAACAATAGTTATGCATTTAGGTGGGAATATAAAATGTAAACATGGATCTCAAAAATATATTAGGACAGTCAATTTTTGAAATTTAGTAGGTCATATTTTTAAATTTTTGAGTAGAATATAAGTTTTTTATACACATCAAAATTCGATTCAATGAGTTTTTAACGTTATTATACCATGAGGTTTACATCAGACTTTTCACACTACCACAATTTATTGTAATTAACAATGTTTATCCTCTACATGGACATCATAGTACGATTATTATTAAACAATAATAGTCCTAATAGATCCTAATCGGAAAAATATTTGTTTTTTTTTTTTTGGTAGTTTTAAGTAGATATAATATTATTCTATAATATAATTTCTATAACAATATTATATTATTATAGACATAGGTAGACAAATATTCATGTAGACAAAACAACAACCACAACTGACACGTCATGGTTTTGGTGTTTGCTATTACGATATTATATTATTATTTTCGCCAACATCATCATCGCCCTCAATAGGATTCATTCGAATCGTAGCGAAACACTGGTCACGATGAACATCGCCCCACACGCGGAACAGCCGGTCGGCCGGCACGTGGTCTGCTATGACCAACCGAACGGTTTCACTGCCTATGAACTTCCGGTATTCTGATTCAGATCCGTCCAGAAGCGCGGTCTTCACGTTTCCCAGTGTCATATCCACTTCACCCGCCGTTAACGCCTTAATTGTGGTGATGATAACATTATTCACTGCAAAACCACTGAAAGCGGAAATCCAGAGTGAAGTGTGTATAAATATTTAGATGGATGGAGAAGGACAACCTCTAATTTACGGGTTGATATTGGCAAAAAATGTATGATGAAAAATCGTGAAGCAAATGTATATGACTAAACTTTACTGCATCTGTAGGCTAAACTGCTAAGGTTCGCATGTATAGTGAATATTGAAAAGTATAATACCACTATATTATAATAGTATGATGTTAGTATGATCATGTTATACTGCGACTTAAATATAAAACTAAAATATATAAATCGTTTAAAATTACCTGTTTCAGCAGATGCTTTGGATGATATTCATTAATAACTATTTTTAAAATAAGTGTGTTAAAAAAAAGATGAGCATATCTATATAAGAATTGAAAACTCGAGGCATACTTTATAGTTTAGATAGGTAGACTATACCATACACTGTGCAAGCCCTTTAGCCAACTCCTTCACAAGTTACGTTTATATGGTGGTGGTRGTGAGAACGGATGAAGGATTTAAAGTGATTAACACCATTATTCAATAATAATAATACATTAATTTACTATCACTTTGATATTCCCTGACTAATTAAAAATTTAAATGCAGATCCATTTAGTTTCACAATGGTGCTACCTTTTTTTCAAGCAGTAAAAGATTCGTTGGCTTAATTTATTTAACTGAGTAAATATTAGCACCGATGAAGCTCAAAATATGTACTTTTATTAGCTTATCACCCATTTTTCTTTTTTTTATTATTCAAATTTGGTAAAGAAATACACAAATCAAAAACTAGGATTAAATTAGAAATAAACTGTTATTCAATACATTCATCCTTATCTCGGACAAAACATAATAAGTAAAAATCACAAACTGAAAAGGTCTTGAGTTTAACGTCCATTGTTTTTTTTAGATGATTACCATTGATTACCTAGATATTTAATTGTTTTTAAAATAATTTTTGATTTAAATTTGACTAAATTTATCTACTTATACCAAAATTAATTTAACAAAAAAATAAATTTTTAATTCAAGTTCTTGATTGGACCTAAAATATTTTGAAATACATTTTAAGACTTTAAAGATATACACTATACGAACAAAGTATTTTTCGTATCGATAAATGAGTACTTACTGTAATAATTGTATGTATTGCATACCGACTTTTTCAGACGTAACCACAACCAATGATTCAGGTCCCAAGTCATTCATGACGTAAGGAATGTTTGATATAAAATCAATTAAAGTATTTGGCGACTCCTTTATATGCAACAAAAAAACATAAAAATATGAGGCATAGGTACATAATATCTACATGAACGTCCAATTGTTCAAAACAAAATACAAAAGTTTCGTATTTCTCACATACAAATTGTATTCAACACTACAACTAATACAATTATAGATAGACAATAATATGATATAGCAATACCAAGTAATCGTCGGGTAATTCTAGTTCCTTGACATTGTCTGAATAATCTTCAATTTTGCACTGCAGCTCAAAACATGTATTTATTTGTTTTTCCAATAGAAAATTGTCGTTCTGCGTTGTATCCTAAGGAAACATGAATAAAACCACTAATATCAATATAATACGCACCGTGCGTAACTCACATAAATACAATTTATCATTACATGAAAGTCGCCACATTGATTTACATACTACAGATTTTTTAATATGTAAGTCTAATATTATATTAGTGGTGGGTTAAACTATTTAAATCTCCTTAGTTCGAAAAAAAACTGTTGATGTTTGGTTTAGTTTGAAGCTTGAACTTTGTATACAAAAATTACGATTCAAACTGTCAAGTAACTTTTACTGTTCAAAAATCGAACTTGAAAATATTCTTAACCAAACAATATCTAAAATGTATGAAATGATACTTAGTACCTACTTAATATATTTATAATAATTTATCTCCCGCTAAGTTCATAAATTGGAAGTAGTGTCATTGGAGGACGCTCTCTTTCCTCACGCTATTACATCTAGTACTAATGTTATCACATTTACGTATTATGTTATTATGTATACAGATTGCGAATTTATTTTATAATAAAAAAAAAATTCATGATAATAGTATTATTTTAATATTATTACGATTGGATATGATAAAATAAAAATAAATGCTGTGTTCAAATTTTAATTTGATAAAGTTTTAATACTTTGGTTTGGTTTGGTTTGATTAATTAAATAAAGTTCAGTTCAACACCGAAAAATCAGTTTTGACCCATCGCTACTAATTATCATAAATACCTACACTATGTATAAATGTATGTGTGTAGTACCTTCAATATTTCTTCAAATTTCTTCATGTTTTCCTGTAAATTGAATATAATAGCTTCAATCATGCAGATCAGTTTGGTTTTATCTGATAGAAATGACTCAAAAAAATGCTTGATGGATATATATATATATATATAAAAATATAGTAATGAACAAACTATAGTTAAATACACGGAGAAAAAAAGTATAAATACAATATTTTTTCGATTTGATTAAACTTATTTCTATGATGTATTAATTAATTCAAATATATAAAATCAAGTGTCAAGGCGTATTATATACAACTGATAATATACTTAATATGAGTTTCAGTTTCTGAAATTTGGTTTTAATTCTTGTTTGTTTTGCATACCAATCATAATAATATCGTTATTGATGTTTATATTGTAGGTATTTAATTAATAATAGGCCAGATATAGGGTATATAATTTTTGATATAGGTTTATTAAACAAATGAAAAAAAATTCTAATTTTTCAAACATAATTACTTATGAATACATGAAATACCTATTAGTTTATAAACTATAAATTTTATTAGATAATGTTAAATTTGTATAGGTAGTTGGAGATCATAGTCGATATTTAAATAATTTTTAATTTAATTTCTCACCAGATACACCTATTAAAATTGTAATACCAGAATACAAGTTATCACAAATAATATACCACATTAATGGAATTTTACAAGAATTTTACAGGAATTTGAAAAACTTTGAGATCACATGCAGTTAAAAATGCATTACAATCAACCTATTTTTTGTATGCAAAAAAAAAAATGTTTTAATTAAATTATAAAAAATATTGAGTAGTTCATAAAATGACACCTGACTTTTGAAGGCTGGTTTTTATACCTGGTTTAAAATACACCTATAACAAAAATCACTCAAGGCAAACTGAATTTTCAATTATACGGAGACTAAAATACACGGAATATAAGTTAACGGGACTATTGTTATTTTCCGTTGTAAGGAGATTTCTGTCTCATATCCCCTAAAAGGGAGAATTTTCCCATAAGAAGGTCTTAATTTACCTATATGCATGTGTATATTATATATATATATAAAGTAGTTGCATTACTTAGTATCTCGTCTGGACACCATCGAACCACTTGATATGAACAACTAAGTATAGTTATAAATAATTTTAACAACATAAATAAAAATGTAATCTTCATTTCAATACTGTTGAACATTTGTGTGTAGATTGAAGATGTAGATTAAATTTACTGTCAATATGTTGTTCATTCACAGCGCATTAAAAATATCAACATAAAAGAAAAGAAATTGATGAAGTTGGAAATAAACAAGAAACTACAAAATTATATAAAATAAAAATTGACTTTTCTCAACTTTTTATTCTTGCACATTTCAAGCTCTTACGCATTATTTAATATCACCCATGGGCCCTGATAAAATCCTAAAAATGCTCCTTCCTTAACATGAGATACAAAACATAGGTAATTCAGGCCAATATAATATATTGTATATAATAATATTATAATATAGTTATTTTTATTATATAATATATAAGTTTTGTTGGAGGTAAAAGTAAGGTAAAAGTATTAACGTTTTTGAAAAACAATTTATTTTTTTATTTTTTGCAATTTAATATAATTATTCTTCAAAATGTTTGTTTTGTCATGACTTAATTTTTTTTTTTAAATATAAATTTATAACTACTAAAGAACATAACACTTGCAGCATTGGTAAATGGTAAGTGTGAATATACTTAAAATAACACACAATATAGTGTCGTATGCCCATTTAATGAGTCTTTATTATGATAGTATATTAACGTTCACGCAATAATTGACTTCAAACAATGAGCAATATTCAGGTATATAACTAAAACAAAAAAGTGAGGTACTTTTTTCCTTCTTTTAAAACCTTGATTTTTAGCATTCCTTGTTATTATACATATAACACACGCATCATACACTCACACACAAACACACACGAGTACGTACGTAAAGTGTAATATCTTATCAACACGAGATTTCTAAAGAACTAGCACATCAAACATTTTCTTTTAAAGGAGGAAAATGAACTCGATGCAACCGCTGGTGTTTCTTTCTCTCTCTATCTCTAATATAAGCGCTGAATTCCAATCCCGACCACACCAAGGTATTTCATTTTTATTTTTATATTCTTTTTTTAACTCTCTTTAACATAATATTACTCATTTTTTTTTTTCATTTACCGCAAACGAATTCTTCATCTTAAGCCACAGTTACGCAATGATGTGCGATATTAATTAAATGGCATTCAATAAATCTTTATTGTAAAATATGTACGTGGAAACGATGAGAATCAGAGGGATTACGTGCAATAACCCTCTTTCAGACGAGGAGAATTGATAACTTACTATCAAATGAAATGCATGTATATTAAAATATTTATTATAATAATAATCCGGATGTGTGCATGTATGGTGTATAATAATCTCTCAAGTATTTTAAACTCCCCAAAAAGTTTTTTGATACTGGGGAATCCGAATCATTATATTTTATTAAATTCAACGATAGTGCCGATGGTGGATTTTTAATTTAATGTTTTTATACGTCAGCCAACATAGTATAATATAAATAAATATATATATTGTGGTATTTTACTTCACCGACACATACCAGTAGTTGAAAATGGATCGTGAAAATAAATCAAGCAATCTGATACAAGTATAAAAATAATAAATTGCCATCTAACAATTAAAATTTAAAAATCTGTAAGGTACCTACTTCGATAACGTATTTTATGGTCTATATAATTATAATAATCGACAGTTCAACGTAGTTTTGTGACTGTATAACTTGACCATATTAACCAAGAAACGCTAAATATCATGAATAAGGTATTATAGGTATTATTGTTGAATATTAATACTATAACTAAATGTTTATGTTTCACAATCAAATATGTAAATGTTAAAAAAACGTATTATAGTTCTATAAATAAAAACTAAGCTATATTTTTCTCATATAATAATGTTCGAGAAATTATTCAGGAAAACGCATTTAAATTAATATTAATAGCAGATTATGTGTTTTTTTTGTAATCGATTGTAATTGTGTACATTTAATGGACAATTAATATATGTTGTTTTTTTATGTCTCTCTTTAAGCTGCTTCTTATTTCTATTATTTCTAGTTTATTAAATAACGTATTCTTTATACTATTTAGTGTATAAATTAAACTTGAATGTTTAATTAATTTAAATAATGATTTTCTTTTGAAATATTTATTCAATTCTGTTTAAATTTAGCTACCTAGTGTAATATAAGCAATCATTTTTTTTTTACTAATTTGTCTCAAATATCAACTCCTATTAAATTAACTAAAATATAAATTAGTCCACATTTATTGAAGTTTAATAATTACCAATGTGTAACTTGGAAAAATTCGGCAGATATTATTCTAATATTCTTCATTCTATACCATTTCATAATTTAATAAAATAAATATTATTTTTATTTCTTTTAAAATCTAATCATAATATATAATTTCAAATATTGTATTGTATAAGAATATTAATTTATAATTAATGTATAATAATTTCACTTTTAATTGTTATTCACTTTTTCATATCTATTAAAAAGCAAGTATAAATATTTATTTTAATTAATAGAATGTTATGATATGCATGTTTTTATCCAAATTGAACTACCTACATTAGCTATGAATGTATTTATAGTTTTCAGAACTGAAACCTTTATTTTTTTGTTTTAGGATAAAATATACACATTATATTCAAATAAACGAGAAAAAAATCAATATCTAATGCTATAATATATAATTAATAAAGATAAACACAAAAAGGAACTGAAGTTTTTTCTAAACGGTATTAGAAATCTATAGAGAAAAAGCAAATAAATACAGATTAAAAGACACTGATTTTTCTTTCAATCATAGTTTCATGTTTTCATTGTTATTCAATATTATCAATATTACAAATTAGTTAAATAATAATAAATTATAATACGTACCTATGCCTACACATAATATTATATACTATTCAACCTATATAATGAGTGTATAATTAAATTAAATACTTTAATAGAAATTGTAACCTTTTTAAATATTGTTCAATGTAGTGAAAATATAATAGTATAGAGATACATAATTGGTTTATGAAATGTATTAATAATGTTATAAATGCACAGTTCAACAAATTTTATCATATATAGAAAAGATAATTTTGATTAATCGGTTCCTATTTAGTTAAACTTTGTTACAATTTAAGTTCTTATACATAAATTCAAACTTTATGAGGATCTTACTTAAGTGTCTCTTAACATTTATGTATCTTAAAATTCACAGGCTTAGAAGTTTACGAGAAGCTTTTGTTTATTCCAAATTATAATGAAATATTTAGTTATAACTAAAATCAAGCAAACGTTTTTTTTGTTGGTTATTAAATATTTTACGTTCACAACGAGTTAAAGAACAAATTACCTAATATTGATTATAAATCATATTTTAGTGTCTGTTACTACTTTTTGTCATTTGGAGTGATTAAAATGCTTTGATATTTTATTTCATTATAATATTTTCTGATGGGAGAATTAATCTTGTTGATACATTATACTTTGGACCACCCAAATAAGTAAATAATTCCTGGCATTTTCTTTAATCACTGGTGTTGTATATGTAAAAGACGTGCTCTGGTGGATTGTGCCAGAAGCGCGTGTTGTGTAATATTATGTCGAAAAAAAGTTTCTTTGTGTTTAATTATTCAATAAAGAATTTAATGTTTTTTTTTTCATTATGAGTATTTTACCTGTTCTTTTATTGTACGCATACACAACAGTGGCGACGAAGATGAATTGGTATTACACACGCACGCGTAGTGAAATTAACGAATTCAATAACGTCCAGGATCAAAACGGATTAAAATCAGTGACATGGTGTCAATGTTTAGTAAGTACTGGGGAAGAAGTCACATGCAAACGTAGCGAAAAACCAAGGTGGTTCATCAGAAATTGGTAACGTTAGCGAAGTACACATGTATGGTAGGTACTTTTAGTGTTTTTCAGAATTTAAACCAGAGTACCAGACGGTGATTGAACTATATGATATCAAGAACGCGTGGAACAGTATTTTCTAGCAAATATGATTCCCTAAGAACGTAAGGTACCACTTTTGAT